ACGGGGGCACCCACATGGGACCCGGGTGGGGCGATGAGGGAGACAAGGGGCAGGCACGAAGCGGGCTCAGGGCTGGTGAGAAGAGAGGGGAGGGAAGTGCTGGGCAGGAGCCATGAAAGGCTCTTTGAAGCAGAGGATGACGGAAATGGGGACAATGTGGGGAAGGATGAGGGAAATGGGGGGGGGAGGAGGAACCATGAGGGAGATCCTTAGTGAGGGGGGAGATGGAGGAGAGGCAGGAGCAGTAGGAGCAGCAGTGACAGGAGAGCAATGGGAGTGACAGAAAAGGATTGCAGGGGTGAGAACAATGAAGGGTGTTGAGAAACGGGGGGAAGATGACTTGGGAATGGGGGGGTATCACGGTAGCGATGGTGAGCTGGAGCGACCACAAGGAAGGTCAGGATGGAGGAGACAGACGAGAGCTGGGACGAGGCAGAGGTAGGGGGAGGTGAGGAGCGGAGGTGGCCAGGCAGCAGGGCCTGCACGCGGCACTGCAGCACGTTTGCTCGGTGCCTCTGGGACCCAGTCCCCAAATAACGTGCTGCACTAAACACAGTTGTGCACTGGCTCATTAGCGCTGTACTGCGAGGTCCAGAGGGGACGTGAATTAGCCTGCTCTTTGCCTCACCCAGCTTCTAGGAAACTTTGCAAGGATATGTGCTTTCCATCTGTTTTTAGGCGCAGGGCCATACACACATACTTGGACTTTTTCTGCTGCCTTAGGTATGAGAATGGGCTGATTTCTTCTTTTTAAGAGACAAAACATTGTTGAAGAGCTGTCAGGAAAACGTTCACATACAGAATTACAAAGAGCTTGCAGACTGAGATCTAAAACCCTGCATCAATTGCATCGGTCACAATCACCTTTTTTAATCCATCCAAAGGCAATAATACAATAATATCAAGAACACAAGAAAAAAAACGACAACAACAAGCCACCTAGCTACGCCAGGAAAAAGGCAACAGACACCCTTAGACCATGAGAGCTTCTCTTTGTGGGCTTAATTCACTCCATGCATAATTCCCCTCTAGGTAGGCATCTGCTAATCTAACTTCACAAGCAAACTCTTTAAACTGAGGCATAAAGTTAAGAGTATTCCCTTAACTCATATCAACTTCCTTTTCCTTTTGCAAGGGCCACCTGAGTTGTTTCCTCCTGGATCTGATAATGAGAGCTGGTTGGTTCTCAAGCCCCAAAGACCCCTTCAAGTGCATTGCTCTCAAGTCCCCTGGCCTGTTCTGGACCCTAGACTTCTTACAGAGAGGGACAGGGATGAAGAGAACCTTACAGGGGCAGCTGTAATATTAGCTTTTCCAGAACCAGGGATAAGTCATCCTGCTGGCACTAGGGTCCTCATCTCTTTATTAATGCTGTCAGAGCACATGCAAAACTTGACACTGAAAACAGCCCTAGAGGCCAAGAAATGTGCCAAAAAATGTATGTTATTGGATTTATCTACATGTGTGCACTGTTCTATACCAAGATGAAGTTAAACCTCAAAATTCTTCAGCCTGCACCATGGTGCCCTTAGATGTGCAGTATGCGCGTTCTCTGAGGAGTACATACCGTGAAGCCGAAGGTATTTTGTTTCTCTATCCAGTTTGCGATGGGAATGGAAAAGGGCTGAGGCAGCAGCATGAGGCTGGAGTATTTTGGTCAAAGGTCTGTGCTTGCTCCCAGCCGGCAGTGGGAGAACACACAAAAGCAGTTTCTCCGGTAACTTCCTTCTCAGAGTTACCATCTGGACAAAGCACCGGCTTGTTTATGCTGACTCCTCCCTTATGACAAATTCAAACATGTTCCATTTCTCCTATAGCATGTTTGAGGTCCCTAGCAGACATGGATTGTTCATCTTCCAATTACAGCACTTAAAAGGTAGCACTTCATTCAGGCCTAAGGGATCCTCCACTTCTGCTGCACCATTCTTCTCCTATGTCACTAATTCTTAGCCAGGACACTGATCCCAAACCATTTATATTGCGTTCTCCCATCAGTAACTCAGGTTCCAGGAACTGAGGCTGTTTGCGTTACAAACATGCAAGAGAGAAATTCTGGTACGTTACGCTGAGACAAACCCAGAGTCTCAAACTCAAACTCAGCCGAATTTCTCCAGTTTATCTCAGTAATGGAGAGCAGCTCCTCACTGCTATGATCTAACTTCCACTCCAAAACAGACTCCGGGTGTTCCCATTGGGTGAAGGAAACTCAGGAAATGAGACTGACTGGTAACAAATCTCTCTCAAATTGCTCAGCCTGAGTTGACAGACTAGTTAATACAAACCATCCTTTACTGAAAAAGTTATTCCCTTCTGGGTCTTACTGGAGCATCCATAATCTCTCATATCAGCTAGCAGGACTGAAGCAGAGTGAGCTCCTGACGACTACCAGAGGTCCACGATACTCAGAAGGCTTTGACCAAAATACGCTCACTGGCATACACGAAGGTAATTGAAAATAGGCAGGCTTTCTGTTCCGGACAATATACACTGTATGTACTTCTCCCTGCCCCACACGAGATACTACACAGATGAATATACTTATTTTTATTTACCAGAACAGGTGAATTTATTACTGCTATAACTCACCACAGATCCAACAGATCTGAAAGTTGCAAATCCCATAACCAGAAGTTCAACTACAAGCAATCTCAGACTGTCTCACTTAAAAGCTCACTTCTATACGACCAGCCCTTTTAACTCAAGCTGTTAGCCAGTATTTGAGGTCCTTTTTGTTGCTACCAAGAGAGGGAAAAAAAGGCTGGAGGAGTCGGGTATTCCTTTGATGCTCTGCAATCAGAAAGAAGCCAAGTGGGGCAGGTTCTTTGCCAGCAGTCCCCAGCCTCTTTCCACTCAGCAGTTGCTCCCAAAGCATTTCCCGTTTCCCAAAACAGTGGTGTAGTTAAGCTGGGGCTACACATGTGCAGACGGGCCCGCCAGCTGGGCACTCCCAACAGCACAGCATATCTGCCTTCCTTCCTTCCAGAAGGGTCATACATTTTCTGTCCTCTATCCTGCTGCCAGTTTTTTCGTGAACTGGATTATCTCTATTCACTGGTTTACAACCTTGAAGTTACCCAGTGGGTGCAGAAGTTATTAGGGAAGACAGAGATCAGAGACTGTGTGACCACAGAAGCTGCATTTCCAGGCTAGAAAAAAAAACTGTTACAGATTGTTTTAATCAAGGCCTTGCATGTGGCCTGGGTACCTCCCATCTATTTCATAAAAGAAGTTTCAATGCTTTTTTTGTTTACCTTCCATTAAGTGCGGGTTGTTACACCCAAAAGCTGCAGTGATGTTTCCTCCACCCCTCCACAACAATATCTTAAAGCTCCAACCTCTTTACCAAATACCAACTCTTAGGATATTAAGTATCGGTCCTTGGGAACCCGCGCCTTTCATCTCTGCGGGTTTTTAGCATCTTCTAGGGCCTGCTCAAAGCATGATCTTTGTAACACTCACTTGGCTTTAACAGCAAAACTGGATGTGAATGATACAGAAATAACATAATAAGCAGCAGTAATTGGATTGACAATCCATTAGCACAAGTTTTAAATCCCAGTGGTTATTACTGGGAATAAAGGGAGAGGTTGTCATTCTTCATATTAGTACATGAATGAAACACTGGCACCAATAAGCAAGTTAAATTATTTCTACAGACAGCTGAATTTGTGCTCCCATTTCTGCAGGCAGCACCCACAAGCAGGGGAACTATTTACTAGCTCCACTTTCAAGAAAGTGCCAACAGTATAAGCCCAACTATGCTATGTACCAGCTTTGGAGCAAGCAGAACAGGCAGGTGCTACAGCCAGCTTATAAACAGGTTTCATGCCATTGGACAGTGGTGATGAGGAATGTCAGACTGGTCTAGGGAGTTTTAGTGTCTAGGCGCATATTGCAGTTCCTCATATAAAAATGACCACTTATTTGATTTGTTTTTCCTACCCCCTCTTTGGACTATGATTTTGTTCCCAAGCCAGAGAAACCGTAGATCCTTCCTCTTTACCTTCCCTGCTTGGAAGTTGCCTAGAAAAATCCCACAGACTATTTCAAGAATTCAAGCAGACTCTGCTTTGCTAGAGTCTCCTTTACATCTTGAGTACTTCCTGCTTCAAAGGCATTCTTTATATAGTCTGCCTTCCTTCCTCTGTGGACTTGCCTATAGAGAAAGGACCCCAGGCTCACCCACCCATCTGAGAAGTCAGAGCCTACCTGGTTTGCCAAACCCTCGCCCCCCACCCCCAACCTTCTCTGACTCTTCACTCATCTCTAGTGGGTACTGTGGAAAAGTCATTTGCCATACTGTGGGACATGACTCAACAGTGACACTTCGGCTTCTCCAGAGGGGCACTATGAGCCCCAGCAGGACATCTGATTGCCTTTCAAGTGGATGAGCACTGGTGATCCTCAACACTTGTCAGAGAAAAGCCACAAAGGATTTAATCAAATCAACAGTAAACGGCAGTTGGACAAGTACCTTTCTTTACCACCTTTACAACTGCTCAGAAAGCTTTTCCCTCCCCATGCAAGTTTTTTCCTCTCCTATCTCTGTTAACTGCTGGCTTGAAAAGCCATGCTGATGGGCTTGCAAGAACACCCAGCAACGTCCCTGTTGAAGCCTTCTTTCAAAATTTAGGTCTGGGCTTAGCGCAGTGCTGGCTGAATTAGGAAAGAACAGCAATGACCCCTTGTGGCCCAGGAGAAAAATACCAGGACCTACACTTCTTATCAGAGATTAGAAATGACCAATAATCAAATCTTACCTGCTGGTGCTCCTGTTTTTAGGCTTGGGAACAAGTGACAGGTATGCCGGAAAGCAGGAACTGCATGAGTCACATAGCTGTCCCCATTTGACACATAGCCAAGTCCAAAATATCAGGGATGCTGCAGCTAGCAGGCAGAATCAGAAAATTCAGAGCTGAAGCAGTCTAGCTATTGAGCTCATGGTTTCTCAGGTTATATATTCACTTATTGAGCACAAGTAACCAGAACTGGTTCACGGTGGGGAGAGAGGGCTAGCATTAGAAACGTAGGCACAGAGCACAGTTTTAAAGAGACTCTCTTTAGACACAAAGCTATGCATTTTCTGTTAAGACATCTGAGCTGTTGCTCTGCTATGTAGAAAAAAAATAATAGAGACAACTCAGCTGTGCGCACCACACAGCCTACTGCAGAGGCACCAGCAGCCCTTTCCTGGGTTCCATATTATCAGGACCTGGCACTGGCTGGCCTTCAGGTCTGAGTATTCACACTCGGTGCTCCACGCAACACTAACTTAATCACCTGCAGAGAACACTTCCACCCATGCTTCCACCACGTTACCTACAGCACCTTCAATAGCCTCATAACCCCCACCCCCCTTCTGACCTGTGAGACGCGTTCAGAAACGTCACTGGAGGACAGGGAAGCATTTTGCATTCATGTAACAGTTCAGGAGAACCATTTCCAGATATCAAATCATCAAACCTCTTTGGGATGTAGTGAAGTACAGTCTTTTCACCCCTTGGCCCACTTTTTAACTTGCATGGACTTGTGTCATTTTAAGTAGCAGAGATGCAAGGAGATCTACCGGATCAAATTTGGACTAGTCACCTAAACTTTAAAAATTTTGTTTTAATTAGGAAACGTCAGATATTCTATCTGTTCATATCTAAAAATCGCACAGCAGAAATCCTTGAATGCCTCTGCATGGTAATAACAAACAGCCTAATCCAGCAATTGGATTGGAAAAATTAAAAAAGTACTTTTTAATTAGAAGAAATAGAGGTGGCTGAAAGCTTTTAGCCTCTTTGTGCTGCTCCTGTCCATGCAGATGTGGATAACGCCAGTACCAGCCTCATGCACAAACCTGAAAGCATCACCATTAAGCTTCAGTTGTTAAACTTCCCAAGTCACCTTGAGGATGTGGTTGTAACATTTATCAGGAAATCCTCACAGAGCTCAAAATAACAATTCCTAGCTCATGTATGGAGCTTTCCAGTGACACCCTCAAGAACGTTAAGTACTGTTGTACAGAGCCAGTACAGACAGAAGTCTCAGTTGTACAGCAGTAGAATAGGTTACCCATGTCCTTGCTTGTCCTTAGCCACTGAGCACCATAATGCTGCAGTTAGTATTTGGGCAGCAGCACTGGTGGCAAATATCCAGCCCTTGCCATCTGGCACAGCAACGAGGCAGAGCTGCAGCAGCAGATTAATACTACAAACACGATCAGAAGCTGCCACCTAGTGCTTATGCTGGGCCACAGGCAGAGCAGCCAGAACTGGATGAGAAGCAACTAGAAGGATATTTCTAGTTCCCTGGGAAAAAAAAAAAAAAACAGCAAAGGGTTTTTCTTTTTGCCTCGGGCAAGCAGGAGAATTTCCAATATTAAAATTAGATTCAGTGCCAATTAGGACAGACTTTTTGCTTCTTCAGCCTTTTTAACAGATACAGCACAGCGCTGCAAGCAGCTCTAACATATAATACATATGTAATACAAACAGTTCTAATACAGCACCAAGGATCTGAGAGGACATTCAAAGGAAATCATCATGTCCATTCTGTACAGGGAAGGTGACCAACTGCCAGCATCTGGCTCAGTATGCCCAGCTCTAACCACTGGCCTGAGGATCTCAGCCAGTGTCCTACTGGACTCCCCACCTTCCCCAGACACAGCTGCATGACTCACCACTCCACAGGATCTTGCAGGGAAGCAATGTTGAACGTGAGCCACAGTAATCACTGCCAGGCAATCTACCTTACAAGAGGAGCTCTTCATGGAAGATATGTTGGAGAAGATGGAGCAGTTCTACTTGAGTGGGAAGAAGAGTAACGGTTGAAGGGGACATAAAGAGACACTGCAACCATTCTGAGCGTCCTGGCCAAATGCATCTCTTGAGCTAGACCCAATTCATTCTGGAGGAAGACAAGCCAATGCAGACACTCCTGAAGGACTGATCTCTCTTTCAAAAAAGTTTAATTAACATGTAAAATATTTAATAGAAAACAATACTGAAGCCTCCCCAGAAGAGGAGCTCACTATATTAGGCATATAAAAAGGACCAGCAGGATGCGCACAGCGCCTAGAGGGACTGAGAGAGCGCTGCTCACCCATCAAAACGGCTACCTGGTTCACGTGGGCAGCCGCATCATGATACATCCACTCCCATACCCTTGAGATAGGTAAGCCATGAACAATCAAACCCAAAATGTAGTTATCAGGGTGAGGACACTCTAAAAAGAATCCTGTGCTCCTAAGACTTGTACCTGTGATCTGCAGTCTTTAAGAGAAAAACTACTCTCAGAGTCGCAGACTGGTAGATCTCTATCACGGTAAAGAAAAATCAAAACCATTTAGAAAGCATTGGGGAGAGGAAAACTGAACACAAAACTCATCCTGTTCTCTTATCGTTCTGCACCAACTTCAGAGGCACTAGACACAGCAACTAGTGCAATGAGATACATCCCAGTTACACTTGCATCTTTACAAAGGTTAGAAATCCACTTTTCATGCTGCTGCACTAAAAGGCCATTGCACCTAAGTACTACTTAGTACTATCGTACAAAAAGGGCTCACTTTAACTAGTAGTTAAAGTGAGGAATTTTGGTGGTTTCTGAGCCTGGAATGAATGGTGGGGGCTGGGATACTGAAAAAATACTGGGAATCAAAAGCTGCCACGGTGGGAGTTCAAACGACCACTTCTGGCCGGGTGCCCTATCCTTCCAGATCCAGCAACCTCTGTCGGGTTTCCAGAACGATCTCCTCCATCACCTCTGGTTTGAGAATGTCTTTGATCTGCAGCAGAAAGAGGAGTAACATTAGCACCAAAGAGTGACTGCTACCTTTGCACACCATGGGGACAAGGGCCCCTGGCACACAGCAACACGTGGCAAGTGAGATACCTTCAGAGGGTTACAAACAAACAAGATTATCATGGCAGAGGTTTCTAAGACAAAGTTAACTTTCTCCTGGTTAGCAGTTCTTACAGAGACCATAAGATATCAAAGGAGAAGCTAAATCTACTGTCATATCCTAACCCTTGCTGAATGACACACACCAGTGTGTCCACCCCCTCCCCACAGCATGGAATAAAGTAAATATTGGCTTTTGTACCTGATGGGGAAGGGATGCTTCATAGCAATACAGGATGCTGGTGTCAAAGAGCATCAACTTCTGAGTAACCAGAGCCACAATGCAGTTCCGGAGTCGTGAGATCACTTCCCGGTCAGACAAGGGGACTGGCTGAGGAATGATAGAGGAGAAGAGGCGAATACACAGTGAAACAATATAAGCAAGCTTTGCCAATATAACAAAGCTTTGCCACAAATCTAGTACCACATCTTGAAAGTCTCCGCTGACAGCAAAAGGTGGCCTCAAGACAGAATCCTAGGGCATTTTCACAGTTTCACAGAGGTGAGGAACTGCTCCTTCATAGCCCAGCACATCTGAGAAATTCTCTTTCTCTCTTTCTCTCTCCTTCAAGAGAGAAGCACAAATGCTCAGCCAAATGGCTGAGGGTTTCCCAGTTCTTCACAAGCACTTCCATATACCTCCTAAGGGAAACGTTCATGCCTGTGCTCTGCTGTGGCGAGCGGCAAAGCTCTACCAGCAAACTTGGAAAGGCTATCTTCTGCAGGCCACCAAAACTGTTCCTTAGACTGGCTGCAACACTCCAGGGACAGCAGAAGCACTAGGTCTAGAAGTCTCACTTAGCACCAAGACCTCTATCATAACACTACACTGAACAAAATATATGAACAAAAGAAGTTCCTGGCAACCTCCACACACCCCGATATGAACAGAACAGTCCGCTGCTGCAAATAAAATGGGTGAGGCCTGCCGAACAGCATTAAATAGTTACAGACTGGTTAATATAGTTCTCGCTGCAAGCACAGAGGCAAAACAGGCTAACAAGCTGCAAGACATTGACAAAAGGGAAACTGCTTAGAGGTTCCAGATGAGAGGAAGGGGGACTTAGAAGTCCCCAATGCAGAACACATTATTGATGTGCCTCTTGGACTGGGTCACACTAGCAAAACACGGTTGGTAGAGGAAGGTCTGTCATCTTCCCTGTCCCTGCTGAACAGCATTAAATAGTTACAGACTGGTTAATATAGTTCTCGCTGCAAGCACAGAGGCAAAACAGGCTAACAAGCTGCAAGACATTGACAAAAGGGAAACTGCTTAGAGGTTCCAGATGAGAGGAAGGGGGACTTAGAAGTCCCCAATGCAGAACACATTATTGATGTGCCTCTTGGACTGGGTCACACTAGCAAAACACGGTTGGTAGAGGAAGGTCTGTCATCTTCCCTGTCCCCTCACCTCCAAGTTGGTGGTGAAGCCCCCTGCCTCTTCATCTTTCTGCTCTGGAGTTGGGTAGATCCAGATGAAGCCATTGTTGCCGAGGATCACAGACGCACCACAGGGCAAGTCATGGAAGTGAGTCTTCTGGCGCTTCACGAGGGAGGGTGAGACCTGAACAAGAACACCTTGGCCAAGCTGAAAAGCAGACCATCAGACTCAGTGTGAGAGACGACCCACCACAGATACATCTGGTGACTGACACGCGCTCCATTCTTGGTCTATGAACCAGCCAGCTTTAACACCCCTTCCTGTGAAACAGCGACTATAAAACCTGCCTGCATCTGGGAGTGCTGGGAGAATTAGCTAATGTCTGTGCAGCCCTTTGAAGATGAAGAATACTCTGAGTTCTTAGCACAAATGTTAATAATATCTTGATCGTAACTACACATCAACCATCCCTGCAGAAAAATGAAGAGTGAGAGGCCCAATTTAGCAGAACGCTTTCCCTTTTAATCCAATAGCTGTCCTTCACCCTTTGTGCAATAAGCACATTTCGCTTTCATCTTTTAAGCGCTAATACCTTTGGTCCGGTAATCCCAAACTGCAGCCTACGCTCCAACGGCCCCTTGGCTTATTACAATGCGCAAAACCAGAGATAAATGCCAACTGCATAAAGCCTAAAATAGAGCCCTGGGGAGAGAAACAAGTTATAAAGGCAATGGCCTGCAGAAGAGGAGTTAGCAAGTTTGAGCCAGAAGTTTTTTCTCCTCAGGGTTCAATTCCCAAAGGGTTAGTGGGGGAAACAGGACTCGCAGCCTGTAGTTGTGGACAAGGAGGGCTGTGGTTCAAAGGGCAGCTCAAGGGTATTCCCTTTGCACTGGGGAACTCCAATCTGTTTTCCCATGTGGGGGCTACGATCCTTCCTAACTTGTAGGGATGGGTTCTAACAACACCCTGCTTTACCCCAGAGCTTTTTCTCTTAAAAAAAACAAAACAAAACACACACACACACACACACAAACACACACACACAGAGCAACCTCTCACAAAAGGCCTAATCCTGCTGCTACTCTGATATAAAGCCAAAGAAATTCTACTGACTTGGGTGGAGTTGTGCTGTATTTAGGAAGGGCCTGGCCTTCAGCCGCAGGACCACCAACCTAGGAGGAACTGTCTGACGGGCTACGTATTATCCTTCATCAGAGCACTCTCCAAAGGGACCTTCTCTCTCCTCCCTGCCCTTCTCACATCCCATTTCTTGCAGCAGGGAGATGACATCCCAGAAAGAGCTCTGATCTGCTTCAAGCTCCAATCCATTGCAGGTTTGGAAGTCTAAACCATACTCAGCAGCAGCGTAGACACTCCCTTACAAGTCAACTGGAGCAGAATTAAGCCAAAACTAAGTGCTTTTGAGCAACTTACCTTCCCGTATTTCAGACTTCGGGTGTGCAGTGACACAGCCCCATCAGAAAATACAGACTGGACTTCTGCCTGTCAATGCCACTTAAGGAAACAAGCTCCCTAATGCTACTCAGTGCCAACAGGAGTTGGCTGCTCACTGCCCAAAGGCAGAGAACTCTCATTATCAGTCTGGCTAGCTAAGGTCTAGCCATTCTCACCCATGCCCCTTGGGTCTTCTGCCTGAATGCAAGCAGTGGAAGGATACGCTGATGAGGTCTCCTTCCTGCAAATAGTCCCTCATTGCAAGCTCATCTTCTGCAGATCTCCTTCTCTGAAAAGCAGAATGGGAGAAAAATTACACGTGGCCCAGGATGGAAAAACGTCAAGTGATTCCCACACCGAGGGGACCACCTCCTTAGGATGGCACGCAAAACACAATCTTGGCAGCAAAGAAAAACGAGGTTCTGGTATTTAGGTCACTGTCCAAATAACACTAAGAGTTAAATAAAGATACCAGAGCACTACCGATGCACCTACAGGCAGAAACACCAATACTACCCCTGTGCTAACCGTGGGAAGGGCTCCAGAGCCTCCCAGCTTCTCGGTGCACAGCCCTCAGCTTCTGCTGTAAAAGCAGAACAAGAGAGGCTCTGGCACTGCTCTACATCAATTGCACTCACCAGTTCCCCACCAGGTAAATTCATAGATGACAGCAACAAGACTGAATCTAGCCTGGAGTTGGTTTCCACTTTCCATCGTTTCT